GGTGCCCGTACTGATAGTCCTTGGTGGGAATCCGTGAGTCTCCAGGGTTGGGATACAAAACTCCTCCTGTCCTCCTGCTCCACTCTGGGGTCCCCCCTACTTTGTGCATATGACCTCCTGTTAATAGGTTGTTAGGACCGCTCTTGGTTCCCCCTGTATGTCTTTGTAGTTTTACTATTATCTAATGCTGTCTTGAGTCTATTGTCTATAAGTTACTTGTTATGTTCCTGATAGGTTACACTACATGGCTTCCTCACACATTCAAAGGAGATGGAAGATTTCCTTATTCTCCTGCCCCATTTCTGTATTTTATCTTATTTTTTATTGGAAAGTCAATATACAGAGAGGAGCAGAGACAGAGAGGAAGATTTTCCATCCATTGATTCACTCCCCAAGTGGCCTCAATGGCTGGAGCTGAGCCAATCCAAAGCCAGGAGCCAGAAGCCTTTTCTGGGTCTCCCATGTGGGTGCTGGGTCCCAAGGCTTTGGGCCATCCTTGACTGCTTTCCCAGGCCACAAGCAGGGAGCTGGATGGGAAAATGGGGCTTCCAGGATTAGAATCAGCATCCATATGGGATCCTGGCACGTGCAAGGTGAGAATGTTAGCCAGTAGGCTACTGTGCTGGGCCCTATTTTATTTTATTTTGTTTTAAGATATTTATTTTTGTTGTGGGATAAGCAGCTAGTTCAGGGTCACGAGCTTGGAAGCCACTCCCCCCCCCCCATCTATTTGTTCCCTCCTGCCCACCTGTGATGTTCACCCATCATCTCCTGGAAACTGAGAGGGGCCCCCATAAATGCCCATGAGAGGAAGGGGCTTGCTGTTGTCTTGGTCATGTGCTTCTGTAGCTCTGGCACTCTGACTCTTGGCCTTCCTGGTACCCACCTGCTTTCTGGCTTCCTATGACAGACTCCGAGGACAGGTATCCCCTGAGCGTGGCCCTTGTATCTGTATTCCTCACCCTCTGTTCACTGTTGGGATGGAACAGTACAGATAGCAATGTTAAGATGTGTTGTATTTCTAAGTTGCGTACTTTCAAGAGTTCTAGGAGAGGTGAGGCCTAGCAGTAATGGAATGTGGACAGAGAAGCCAGCAAAAGGTGAATGTTTGCAGCTTTGTGTAAGTGTGTCCAGGTTGTTCGCTGCATGTCTGTTAGGATATTTTTATTGCTGGGGGAGCTGGGACATAGGTCTTCAGTTTAACAGATGGACTTCAGGGTACTGACCATTTGTTCCTCTTGGGGTTTTGATTCAGACTGGATTGCCATATGGACTTGTCATCTGCTAATTTCTAGTGGGCCCTGTTATCATCACCCAGCTTGGTTAATATACTCCTTGGGACTGGCGCAGTGGCCTAGCAGCTAACGTCATCACCTTGAATGCACCAGGATCCCATAACGGCACCAGTTCTAATCCTGGCAGCTCCACTTCCCATCCAGCTCTCTGCTTGTGGCCTGGGAAAGCAGTTGAGGACAGCCCAAAGCCTTGGGACCTTGCACCCATGTGGGAGACTCTAAAGAGCTCCTGGCTCCTAGCTTCAAATCGGCTCAGCTCCAGCTGTTGCGGTCACTTGGGGAGTGAGTCAGCGGACAGAAGATCTTCCTTTCTGTCTCTCCTCCTCCCTCTATATATCTGACTTTACAATATAAATGAATAAATCTTTTTTAAAAAGATAAAAATATTTAAAAATAAATAAATAAAGACTCCCTAATATGTCCTAGATTTGTCTGTGTGATCTCGTTCGCACCCAACAACAATTTTGAAAGGAAAGACAGAGAGTGAGAGACAAAAAGATCTTCCATCCACTGGTTACTTTCCAGATGTCCACAATGACTGAGACAGTGCCAGGAACTTCTTTCAGGTCTCCCACATGAGTGCAAAAGCCCACCTACCTGGGCCCTCTTTCAATGTTCTCCGAGACATTAGCAGGGGGCTGGACAGAAGTGCAGCAGCCAGGATGTCCATATGGGATTGCTAGCGTCTTGGTAGCAGCCTTACCTACTATACTACATCACCGGTCCTTACTATTTTATTTTATTTATTTATTTTTAAAGATTTATTTATTTTTTATTGGAAAGTCAGATACACAGAGAGAAGGAGAGACAGAGAGGAAGATCTTCCATCTGATGATTCATTCCCCAAGCAGCCACACGGCTGGCGCTGAGCCAATCCAAAGCCAGGAGCCTCTTCCGGGTATCCCACACGGGTGCAGGGTCCCTAGGCTTTGGGCTATCCTCAACTGCCTTCCCAGGCCACAGGCAGGGAGCTGGCTGGGAAGTGGAGCTGCCAGGATTAGAACTGGCACCCATATGGGATCCCGGGCGTGCAAGGCGAGGACTTTAATCACTACACTATCGCGTCGGGCCCTATTTTATTTCTTAAGGATTTTTTGTTTGTTTGTTTACTTCGAAGACAGAATGACAGAGGGACTGAAAAAAAGAGAGAGCATCTTCCATCTACTCAGGCTGAAGCCAGAAGTTCATGCAGTTCTTCCTCATGGGTGGCAGGAGCCCAACTCCTCGGCCCATCATCCATTGCCTTCCCAGGTGCATTGGCAAGAAGCTGAATTGGAAGTAGACAAAAGGAGACAAGCCAGGGACTTGAACTGGCCTTCGCTGTGGGACCCTGCTATCTAAGCATAAGGACAGCCTCAGATGAACTGTTTAAATACTCACATTTATTATTATCCTCATTTTGCAGAAGAGGAAATGGAGGCACAGAGAGGTGAAGTGACTTGCTAACCTCACACAGCTAGTATGTGGCGGTGGCGGGACTGGAGCCCACATCAGCTGGCTCCAGCATCAGGATAGAATGATCACATGAAAGTAAATGAGGGCTGGGCCAGCCCTTAGCAGCCTGAATCAGAGATTACAGAAGAAGAAAGCTCCATGCTGCCTGCACCACAGGCCAGCGAGAACCACAGCGAGGAGGGAGGGAGTTCCAGAATGCTCAGACTGGGGTGGGGGGACACAGCTGACCACAGGCTGAATGTTCCTGAATTTCCTGGCAGAGAAATGAATGACATGAAAGGGAAATTTCTCCAGGAAAAGCAAACATTTTTGAGGTTTTGGCTGTTGCTGTTGCCTCATCTCTGATTTCAGACCCACAGTTCCTTTGCTGAGTCACATTGAACATCATGGGAGAGGCAGAGGGCGAAAGTGAATGTCCCCTCCCCATGCTCGCGTGACAGTGGAGTCCCCAAGGCACCTCCTTCCACGTGTGCATGCTTTTCTGAACCAGATGAAGTTAATTACTGCTCCTCTTTCTCCTTTTCCCCCAAATCTCTCCCAGTACACAATAATCCTATGAAACGGCTGGATGACAAGCTAAGGTAATGATCATCTCAAGAAGCATTTCCTGCCCTACCAAAAGCTTTGGAATCCACCACCCCAAGACGTGACTCTAGGCTGACCCCGTCGTGCCTGGCCCTAGTTGTTCTTTTTGTTTTTAATTTAAAAGCGGGAGATATGGACAGAGCAATGGACCGCTCGCTGCTTTACACTCCAAATGTCATCAATAGCAGGAGCTGGGCTAGGAGGACACTGAGAATTTTGTAAGGATGTTTCCCACCTGAGTGGCGGGGAGTTAACAACCCTGAGTCATCGCCTGCCTCTCAGGGTGAGCATCAGCAGGAAGCCAAAATGGAAGGGGAGTCGGGGGCCAGGAACTGAACCCAGGGACTCAAGAGGGGATAGAGGCAGAGTTTAACCTCTGCACCAATAGTTTTGCATACTCTTGCTTGCACCCAATTTCCTTTAAAAGGTCAGAAGTTTAGGAGAAAAAGATTCCTTTTTTAAAATATTATTATTATTAATGTAAATCATCTTCATTCCAAGTGGTAGGAAAGAGGAATCTACTGAAAAATCAACTAGAATTTCTTGCTGGTCAGACATAAAATACCGGTGTCAAATGATATCATTTAGCTGACTGCAAATTGGGTAATAACTGTCAGCAATGCAAAGATTATGTTAGGTGAAACACGGTGAGAGAAAATATAACTGCCCTAAAATTTTAAGGTTCATACATGGAAGAGATATGAATAGAAATTTCCCAAACTTGACAACAATCCTAATATTCATTTGACTTTACCAATGACAATTTGTGGAACTGGAAGAAATTTTCCTAAGGTTTTATTAGCAATTTTCCTTACAATCCATTAAGCTAGAGGAATTCTATCTTATGCTAGTGAAAATATTACAAGATCACTGATACACAAAGAGGCAACTGCAGAACACATAACAAAAAGATGCAAAAAGAAACAGGACTGGCATTGTGACAGCAGGGTAAGCTGCTGCACGTGATGTACGCATCCCCGCACGAGCTCTGCTCCCAGCCCCAGTGGCTCTGCTGATGATCCAGCTCCCTGCTAACGTGCCTGGGAAGGCAGCAACAGGTGTCTGCAAATCCTGATTGAATTCCAGACCCTTGCCTTTGGCCTGGCCCAGCCCTAACCTTAGTGGTCATTTAGGAAGTGAACCAGCGGATGGCATATCACCCTCTCTATCTCTTTGTAACCCCGCAAATAAAACACCCCCACACACACAGGTATTAGAGAGGTCTGAGACAATCAGTACAGTTATATTTCTGGATTTTGTGATGTTTGTAGTATGTTTTAGCTTGAACATTTTCTCTATGTTGTGATTTTATTTCCAAAACCGGAAATAAATACTCAGGTGTGACTGTTCCTGATGTTCACTGCATTTCTTAGTGATACACTGCAACCACAGTCACACATGTCAAAGCAGATGGCCCTGCTGGCCAGCATTAGGGCACAGCAAGTTAAGATGCTGCGTGAGACAACAGCACCCCATGTCGGAGCTCGGGTTCCAGTCTTGGCTGCTCCGTTTAGGCTCCAGCTCCCTGTTAATGCTCCTGGGAAAGCAGGGAAAGACGGCCCAAGTGTTTGGGTGCCTCTGCCCATGCGGAAGACTTGGCTGGAGTTCTGGCTCTTGATTTTAGCCTGACCATTGTGGCCATTTAGGAAGTAAACCAATGGATAAAAGATTTCTTTGTCATTGTGCCTTTCAAACAAAAAAATACATCTTTGAAAACAAAACAGATGACTCCTGCCGATAGTCTATATAGTCATTGTTTTTTCTGTGCAATGGCTCCATATACAAAAATGAATCACTTTTACACATTTCATATTCATGATTTTCTATTATTTTTGTATTGCCATTTAGAGAGTGTTCTTCAAATTGCCTAAATTTGAGACCCAAGGACATCCGAATCTCCACTGGGTACATGTGAAAGCACATGGCACTGGTGTTTGATCTGGGCTCAACTCACAGATCTGCCACTTGCTGCCTGGGTGGTGCGAAGCTGGAAACAAGTTCTTTCTTGGGACAGCAAGTTTTTTTTTCCTCCTGCATCTAAAGTGGGATGCTAATATCTCTCTTGCTTGGCAGTCTTATGAATCCTGCATGTAAAGTGTCTATTATGTGGTCATCTCAATGAGTTTGTGGTAAAGAGACAACTAGATACTGTGAGGTTTTTTGAGGCCGGACAGCCAATAAGATGTCCTTTATCCGGGATCTGGACTAGAGCCAGCCTTGCGGTGTAGCTCGTAAAGCCGCTGCCTGTGACTCAGGCATTTCACAGGGGCACTGGTTTGTGTCCCACCTGCTCCACTTTCAAGCCAGCTCCCTGCTCAGGTACCTGGGAAGCAGCAAAGGATGGGCCAAGGACTGGGGCTCCTGTACCCGCATGGAAGACTGGAGTGAAGCTCCTGCCTTCAGACTGGCTCAGTCCTGGCCTGTGGTCACTTAGGGAGTGAACTAGTAGATGGAAGATCAAGATCTCTTCTCCTCCTTTCAAAAATATAAACTTGTGTTGTTGTTGTTGTTGGTAAGGATCTGGATTGCAAGTTTCTATTAAGAATGTTATTTCCTTTCAATCTTCCACTCCTTTTGAGAGAGGAAGTGAGGCAAGCCTGAAGTGTTATTACTGACTCTTAACACACCTCACCCATTCCTCACTCTTTTAAAAATATTCATTTTCTTTTTATTGGAAAGTCAGACATACAGAGAGGAGAGACAGAGAGAAAGATCTTCCATCCATTGATTCACTCTCTAAGCACTTGCAATAGCCAGAGCTGCACTAATCCGAAGCCAGGAGCCAAGAGCTTCTTCCAGGTCTCCCACGTGGGTGCAAGGTCCCAAGGTTTTGGGTCGTCCTCGACTGCTTTCCCAGGCCACAGGCAGGGAGCTGGCCCATATGGGATCCCTGTAAGTGCAAGGTGAGCACTTTAGCTGCTAGGCTACCGTGCCGGACCCCCTTTCTTCACTCTTTACTAAACACAGGTCCTGGAGGTATTCCCTCACCTCCACCACCTCTGTACCTCCACATGGGAAGTGATATGAGCATCCTTTTCACCATGCTTGGGAAAAATAATCAGGTGAAATGAGGACATTTTTGGTCTTTTGTTGAAATTATGTTTGGGGCCCGGTGTGATAGCATAGTGGTTAAAGTCTTCACCTTGCACGCCCAGGATCCCATATGGTTGGCAGTAATAATTCCAGCAGCTTGACTTCCCTTCCAGCTGCCTGCTTGTGGCCTGGGAAAGCAGTGGAGGACGGCCCAAGGCCTAGGGACCCAGCACCTGCGTGGGAAACATGGAAGAGCTCCTGGCTCCTGGCTTCGGATTGGCTGAGTTCCAGCCATTGCGGTCACTTGGGGAGTGAATCATCGGATGGAAGATCTTCCTCTCTGTCTCTCCTCTTTGTATATCTGCCTTTCCTATAAAAGTAAATAAATCTTAAAAAAAAAAAAAGAAATTACCTATTTGATTAACAGCTTTATGTTTTCTTTTTCTCCCCATCAACTCAACCCCCATATTCCTCTCTGCTTCGTGCCTGCTGGCACACTTTGTGTCCACTGACCTAGCAGTATCACCTCCTCTCCTTCTCACAGTGACCATATCCAGTGATGGATCTGCAAAATTTCCACTTCGTGGCAAAAGAAGCAAAGACTCAGATCTGTTTGATCTATCAATCAAGGTCTAGCTAAGGTTGGAGGCCTTACTCCCCATGCCGCGCTGCCTTCCACCAACTGCTCTCTCTTCCAGCCAACAGTGTGGCTGAATCCGGACTTGGGCATGTGCCAGAGGAGGGAACGGGAGATCAGAAGCTTCTGTGGTCCACGCCTCTGGTGAACCCTCGCACTACCGCACTACCTGGCTGTGCCCAAGCGTCCCTGACGGATGGCCACATTCACCCACAACGCTCCCAATAGTTGTAAGCGCTCTCTCCTCAAGGCACCAGTGGAGTAGGTATCAGAAGACGCTGGTTCTAATCTAGCAGGAACACCAGCTGGCTTACAGGCAAGTCAGTTGCTATCTCTGTACCTCATTTGCCACAATCTAAAAATAAGACAGAAAAGAGACATTTTCAGGACCTGTTGCAGTTCCAACGTTCTGTCAAGCGAGCCAGCCAGTCCCACATACACATAAATGCAGGTAGCTGAGTGTGTTCTTGGTGATTTGCTGGAGCTTTCTCCCCAGAGCTGCAACATCCTTTGATGAGAGGGGATCATGAAAGCTGTCAAGTATAGACAGGAGTCAGCATGATGCGGCCATGCAGTTTAGACAGCTGCCTTTGAACTATGGTTGCATTAGGCTTGGTTACATGGTCTTGGCAAGTTCGTCTCTATGTTATCTATCTATCAAAGGGCTTGGTCAGGTTGAAGCTGGAGGCAGGAACCAACCCAGGTCTCCCACATGGGCAGCAGGGGCCCAATGACTTGAGCCACAACCACTGCCTCCCAGGGTCTGCATCAGCAGGAAGCTACACTTAGGAGAAGAACCAAGTATTAAACTCAGACATTCTGAGAATGTGGGTGTCTTAACTGAGATCCTAAATGCCAGTCCTTCAGCTCTGAAGTGCCCTGTTCCTCTATACAATGGTGCTGGCACAACAGGGCACCCGACATAGAGCTGTTGTGCTCTGAGTAGCACCCGGCACCACACTGAGCACCCCGAATCCCAAGAGATGACCTTCACTGGTCTCTGTCTCTATTTTGGACCTGGGATGTAGAACCTTGAAGGGGTAACTTCAAAGAGAGACTGAGTCGGCAACAGGTCATGGCCATGGGACCGAGGGAGAGGGGGACTCCAGCTGGCCGCACATGGCCGAGCTGGGGAAGCGAACGGCCTTGCTCTCTGCCCAGCTCCACCCACACGTGTCTGGGCAGCGTCACTGAGATGCTGGGCTGGGTTGGAGAACACTGAAATATCTGAAGTGGGAATTAAAAGATATTTCTGAAATGCATCCCAAATTCTCTATCTCGATAGGCATCCCAACAGGCAGTGCCAAATCCCAGCAGAACAGCAGCGTGTCTGTTTGCCGCTCTCCACACTGGCACACTTCCTAATCAGAATTTCATTCTCTGCTCTAGCAGTCAGCTTGAAGCCTCCACTTCTTCCAGCCTTGGACAGCTTGGCTCATTTGCCCTCAAACCTTTAAAACAAACAAACTGATAAAACTGAGTGACATCCCTGCCATTTCTCTCTATTTAAAATCTTGGCCTTTATTTATAATAGTAAAACAAGCAAACAAACAAAAATGGAAACAAGCAAGACATCCCACCATAGAATAGCCAAAATAAAATTGTGAAACCCAGACAGGTTTTTTTCATAATAGATATTATTTATGAACTTTTAGAAGACCTCATAGGTGTACATTTCAAAAATGTTTGCAACCGAATAATTTTCCACAAACTTTTTGAAGTATCCTCATATTACATAGATAACTAGAATATAATCACATGTATGTTATAATTGAATATTGAAAGCAACCACGGGGTGGGTGCTGGGGCTGGCTGTATGGGGTGCCCATCCCCTGTAACAGCATGCTTGGGTTCGAGTCCCAACTGTGTTCCTAATTTCAACTTCCTCCTGATGTACACCCTCAGAGGTAGCAGGTGATAGAGTTGGACCGAGTTCCTGACTCCCAGCTGCAGCCTGGGCTAGCTCCAGCTGTTGCAGGCATTTGGAGAGAGAATTGGAGTATGGCATTGTGTGCGCTTGCTGGCTTGTTCCTCTTCCCCCTTCCTTCTCAAGTACATTCATAAAGTTAAAAAAAAATTTTTTTAAAGGCAAGCATGGATGTGGAATAAAACAACGATTATCCTGTCAGTGGAGAGGCAAGGGAGATAGGGAGAAAGCGGGATCTGATTCCCAGAGCCACCGTGTACTTGCAGCATGACCTTGACAGATCTCTCCACATGGCTGTGCATCAGAAAAATGATAACAGTGGAAACAAGAGCTCCAATTCCACAGCCACTCTTCCTGCCTGCCTTAAAGCCGGCTATGTCATCTTCTAATAGTTGTCCAGTCTTGGACGGTTCACTAAGCTTTTTGTTCCTTGCTTTCCTCCTCTGTAAATAGGATATGCCACTCAGGGATTTTCTGGGGAGTGAGAATGAAATGAGACAACACATGCGAAACCCTGAGAAGAGGGCCCAGCAGAGTGTGTGACACCAGCATCCCTTGACCCAACCCCTACTACCAAGTATTTCTAAATGTAGTTGCCTCTCCAAGCCACCTTGACAAGAAACACCTGTGCTACTCCAGGTGTGCAGATTCGACATGCATCTAGCATAGCACAGGTGGCTTCTGTGATGGCAAGAGGGAGGGGGTGCCATCCTCAGCAAGAACTAATTAACCAGGCACTCTTTCTCCTCCAACAGGAGCAGTCGGGGCACTGCTGGGGTGCACTGTAACTTGGTGGAGAAACAACAGTCGGAGGACCAGGTACGGGGAGCCACGTGATGTGGCGTGCACTGCTCGTCAACTTGATGGGAAACTCTCCGGCTGCGTGCATGAAGGCTCCTGACGGAGGGTCCCAAGTGCCCCTGTCACCACTCAACAACAGCCCAACTTGGCGAGGGTCACAGAGAAGCAGCCACCTGTTGAACCACAGCATGGTTCAGTTCCCATCATAGCTCTCCCTCTGGGTAAACTCTGGCGCTATTATCATCTTAACCCTGAAAAAGGGCATGGGGGTGGGTGTCCAATCAGATACATCTCTGATGCTTAACTGTCAAGTCCCTGTAGTTCTCAGCTTGCAGAAGAATCAGAGCTCACAGGGCATCATACATTTCTCCAAGACTTTATCCATA